GTAAAAGCTTCTTTGACCATTTTATGTTTTTCTTGGCAACACATTTTGCTTCTGAAAATTAGTCTGTGGATCAGTAGTTATTGTGATAAATTCTATCTGAATGGCTTTTAACATTCTCTTACATACATATTTCAACTTTTTAAAAAATCCAGATATTTAAAGCTATTTTCTTCCTTTGCTGTGGGTATGTGTCCTGAATTTTTAAAGCCAGAAATATTTTACATCTTTAGCAAATGAGACTCTCTTCTCTGAGTTTAAGCATGTTTTTCTGTGTACTTCCTCGTCTCTGTGCACAGTGAACCTTTATCAGGGGCTCTGCCTTATACAAAGGTGAGATGGGTCAGGCAGGCAGGGGACAACCTCAGGGATCCTGCTGACCACACTGAACATGGGATGTCCCTTTCATCCCAGAGGTTTTTACTGTTTTAACAGCTTGAAAATGGGCTCCTCAAACTCTCATACTATTTCTCTTTAAAAAACAAAACAATAAAAAACCTGCTGCATGGCAGAATGACCCCTATTCTCTACTGTCAAATATATATGGGCCAAGATTATACTGCCCTGCACTCAGCCTGGGAACAGTACAATTATTCTCAGTCACAGGTGCTGCATCCAAAGCACTGTTTTCTTATTCTGGTCTATAATGATATTTTCCAAATTAATGTGCACAATTGAATGGACCTCTTTCAATAGGTGTTTATTGAGTGCCTACTTTGCCCTGATTATTGAGTGACTAATAATATCTATACAGTCCACCCACATGTCATTCCCCCAGATTTCTGAGGCAGCATAAACTCAATGTTTCCCTTGGCCATTGAGTCCTCCTTTCCCCAAACCCTCCCCCTCCCCCAGGAGGCAGAGCCCCTGCTCCACCTGGGCCCAGTGCATGGTGCCATCTGGTGGAAGTTCACGGGTAGGAACTAGGAAGAAGAGTATTGCCAACGAAGAGGGTATGAGTCATAAGAGCCGAATTCGCTCCTGGCATCCTTTCCCCCATGTCAGAAACCACAAACGAGCACACTCCGCACTAAGTAGAGATGCCAGCAACGATCAGTTCAGGCTGCCCCCCACTGCCCCTGGAGCTGCTGACCAAGCAGCAGACAGCAGCAGCCAAAGGAAAAGCTGAGGGATGAGGCAGGACTCCCAGGCCAGCTGACGGCTGGGCACTCTGACCTGTGCGACAGAGCTGGAACCAATGATCTGGGATGTCTAAAGCAGAAGTGTGGGTTTTACTGAGTACTACGCAGAATTGAAGAATTTATTTCTCACCTCTTTTGTACTTTGAACATTTTATGGAAAGTATTTGGACCGTATTTCGTGGTCTAATGTTCCCTTGCAAAGGGGAAGCTTTGCCTAAGACCTACAGCAGGACGTAGAATACTAAGCAGTTCAGCAATCAAAAACTCAGTCTCTCAGAAACACCCTCCATAATCAACATGATTTAACTAATGCTGTCCGGTGGGGCTCCTGGGTCCAGGAGAGAACGTCGGGGAGAATCAATCAGCATCAGTATCTCTCTCTCTCTCTCTCTGTGGGCCCCTTTCACTCTGCTCCCATAACAGCTGCGGGTGGGTGAGTTTGGACTGAGTTCTTGGACAAGGACTTGTTCTGCCTGTTGAACTGGGCTGGGAAGGAGTCCAGGCCTACCCTCGATAAGAGAAGTTGGTCAGACTTTTGAAGCTTCGGATCCTGAGGGCAGCTGTCATCTCCATCCCTCACGGTGTCAAAGCGCACCCTGACCCGGGTGTAAATGTAGAATAACTGGGATTTTATCATTGCAATTACTAAGAGAGGGAGGTCTGTGAAATACCTGCCACCCTCGTTGGTGGTGGTGGCCCACATGCCTGGTGTTCTGGAGAAGTAACCATGATGCCCACATACCCCAGGAGTCCAGGAACTCGGTCATGCCTTGGCCAGAACTGGGACAGCTAGACTGAAGAGGGTGACTGAATTCCTCCAGAGACCTTTTGCTTAAGTCTCCTTAGAGAGTCCCAGTTTGTGAGGAGACTTCCACCGTGGAGGGTTGATTTTCCTAACTGACAGATGCAGAGCAGGAAAGCCCATCTCCAAGTGGCCAAGAACCCAAGCAGCCAAACCCCATAGCCTTGCAAAGCCTGCCTGGAAATGGTGCTGGTGTCCCTTCTCACGGAGAGGGGACACAGTCGGTTCTCACTCCGGCTGCCCTCACACCCCCTCCAAAGGGGAAGATCCCAGAGACCCCCTTAGTCCTCCTCATCTTTTCGCAGTTGCCAGTCATTTTCCCATGCAAAAAAATTTCCCAAGCTTGCATTCCATCAAAATCTCTTTATCATGCGCATGGAGATTCTCTTTTAATGCTGATGTGGGTGGCATCCCTCACTAGCAGCAGTGCAAGTTGGGGGAGTCCTTTGGAAAGGGGTTTATCAATGGGAGTCACCACCAGGAACATGTTCCTCTTGAATTCGATGAACTCACCCTTGGGATGTTATCAGGGTGTTACCTAGAGGTGGGAAAAAGCCACCTGCACAAGAGCTTGTGGTGGAGGTGGGCGAGTCGAGCTGTCACGGAAGTCAAAAATGCTATACTAGTGTCGCTGTGGTGGTGACTGTCATGGTGGTTGTTTTGGCAAAACGTCAGAGTGAATCCAGAAGTACAGCAGTAGCAGAATGGCCAATGAAGTATAGCACATCCACTCCGTGGAACCACTTAAAATAAAAATATGTATATTTCAAAATTAACACTTACTCTAAAAAAAATTGGAATATAGCATAATCATCTCTTGCCTAAGATTACATAGCAACATCGAAAAACAATTGTATTCTGTTTAGTTTTTTAAAGCATACCAATTCTGTGTTATTATGGAATAATGATAAATGGACGTATAACCACAACTCAAGATCTAGAAGGTAAAAAAAAAATTTTTGAGATGACAAAGTGAGAGGACTTTCTTTGCTTTAGAATTCCATGAGTTGGGCCAACGTTCGTTTAATAGTGATGATTCAAGAATGGTCTTGTACAATTTTCCTGTGAATGACAGTTGCTAATTTCAATCTTGTTGACCGTGTTCTGATGTGTCCCAGGTATTAACCATGGACCTGTAATAGCTGGTGTAATTGGAGCTCAGAAGCCGCAATATGACATCTGGGGCAACACCGTCAATGTGGCCAGTAGGATGGACAGCACCGGGGTCTTGGACAAAATACAGGTAATTCAGTCCTGCTCTGTCATTCTCAGCCCTGTCTGTTCTCTTGGAAGCCATAAGTAAGTATAATAATAATAATATATTAAAACAAAATAAAGTAAACCTTGAAATTTACTTAACTATTTTTATCAGACAGATGTTAATTTCTGCATTGACTGTTAACAAGAACATACTTCTAATAATACAAAGACTATTGCATTTGTGAGAACAAAAGACCCAGCAAGGACTAACATGCTGGCTGGACAGCTGTGAGCGTTATATTGCATTGACTGTTAACAAGAACATACTTCTAATAATACAAAGACTATTGCATTTGTGAGAACGAAAGACCCAGCAAGGACTAACATGCTGGCTGGACAGCTGTGAGCTTTATTCACAAGAGTGGAGCCCTCCTCTCCCAGGCCTTCTCCCGGCCCCAACATTTTGAAGAGGGCTTTGCAAGGGGGAAGGACCGTGCAACCAAACCCAGATATAAACACCACCCACCCAAGCCTTCCTCTCCCAAGGGGCTGCACTGAGCGGAGGAAGGAAGGTGAAGTATAAGGTTGTATGAAATGGCAGTACTCAAACTAGCGTGGGATTTGGAGAGCTGGAAATGACCGAAAAGCTCTGGAATCCACCCGAAGGAGAGAAAGGGAAAACCTGACAAGTCAAAAGCAGTGATTGGAGAAAAATACAATTATGTTAATATTCCCACTGCTCATTAAGTTAGTTACAATCATGGTTAAGGTAACTATAATTACAATGGCACTAATAATCTAGAAAAAAAGGATTTAAAAATCACTGAAAGGATACTTTAAATATATTTATAGCAAAAGCCATTTTGTATTGTGGTTTGGCAATTTTGCTTACTGTGGCTGGAGATTATCTTTCTTATTCCTGTCCTTCACTCCTCACCCAAATCCACTTTATATATTGTGACTAATTTTAGAGTTTGATTAAATTCTGCCACCAGAGAAGTCACCCTGAAGTCTGCCATCATAGTGACATGCCATGCTGCTGTATAGTCTGTCCCGTCAGAGATACAAATCTATCCAGTAACCTGGACGGTGTTTCAGTGAAGAGGCTGGGATATGTAGGTTGGTCCTTAATTTTAGTTTCATCATAGAAATTAGTGTAAATCAATATGCCTTCAGGAGAACAAACACGTTAGTGAGCAGATCACCAGGAGCAGAATGCGTGCACCTGTTTGGGCAAAGTGCCAGACGCTAGAAGGAGGGGCTGAGTTATCCCAATGAGAAGGGTGCGTGTGCATCCTAAACAATATCTAATTGGTTGCACGATCCTTCTCCCTTCCAAAGCCCTTTCCAAAGTATTGGGGCCAGGAGAAGGCCTGGGAGAGGAGGGCTCCATTCCTGTACATACTGCTCATGCACATGTGTGTACGTGTCTGTTCTGAACTTTCTATTTGCCTCACCCTCAAAAAGCAGTGGTTTTACATTTTGCCCTAGCCGTGCTGCATTCTAGAAGATAAATTCCTGCTAGATGGCAAATTTATATGAAAAGCACTGGACTCACGTAACAGGCTTCATCATGGCTGTCCTCGGGGGATTATGATGAGTTCCTATACTGTATGCCTCAGCTTGGCTAAGGCCCTCAAATAACCTTGCTTCCTGAAATTGTGACAGAGTTGTCCAGTCCTTTCTTAACTTCTGTAAAAGACCATCCACTCCAGTATCATCCAGGACAGGTTTTTCATTACACCACTACTTACCCACCTGCCATTCCTGTCACCCACCTCATTCATCCTAAGATGATTCTATTTCTGTGGCCTTTCTAAAGGGTACCTCTAATTATTATATGGAATGGAACAAGCATTACTGCTAAATGTCTTCCTTCTTTCACTCAAATTATTAGTCAACAGTTTCTGCAAACTAAGCAAAAGTCCAATAAAGAGAATGCAGAGATTAACAAGAAAAGTAATGGGAGGAGCAGAGGAAATATCCCAGGCCTTCCCAAGCAAATGGCCATGGCCAGTGGAAAAGAGAGAGCTGGTTCTGCTCAGGGCCGCCAGCTCAGAGTGAGCTCTCAACATCTGCTCCGGGCACCTCACCTCTCACAGTTGGGTTGAGAAATGGGGCTCCATGGAGACTGCTCAGCTGCCCACCCAGGAGAGGACAGGTCAGGTATCCTGGCAGCCTAGTCTAATCGTGCCTGGATGGTACCAAGGTTTCTGAGATTTTCTGCATGAGCATCACTAGCCACTCCCAATGCCCAAGAATGCTCTATCAATCCTTGAAAACCCCGGGTCTTCTCTTTGGCAGGAGAGACAGGCATGTCCCTCTCAAGGGCCCACTCTCCCACCTGCAGGCCAACCTCTGTCCCCACCACACACCCGGAATATTCAGGAGATGAATGGTAGTTTTTAATATGCTTTACAACTCTCTACTAAGTCTCCAAAGCAATTTAAGACTGGCTGGTCTTGGAGAGCTCTCTGTCCTGGAGATCATAAATCCTTTACAGGTTAATGCTTAAAATGAGTTTGAGCTCATATGTGTCTCTAAGAGGATATTGGGCACCATATCCTCTTCCTTTGAAGACTGGCTGGTCTTGGAGAGCTCTCTGTCCTGGAGATCATAAATCCTTTACAGGTTAATGTTTAAAATGAGTTTGAGCTCATATGTGTCTCTAAGAGGATATTGGGCACCATTAAACTCCACGTGACTTAGTACAGACCAGTCTCCGGGACCCTTTCTGTGCACTCTGATCCCAGGTAGTAAATAAGACAGCTGCTGCCTGTCAGAAATAAAGTATGTTTGCAGGCCTGCGCGTGCTTGCTTAGCTCAGCAGCTGGAAGGTTTGCTTTGGGGTAGGTTTCTTCTCCTGAGGGTGCAGCTCACTCCAGCTCTGGTAGCCTCTCTTTTCCATTCATGTGCAAAAACAGAAGTGAGCTGCCGGGAAAAATAAAAAATGACGCTGAGACCATTGCAAATCTTCTCCCGGGCCCGAGGGACAGGTTTTTTCAATTAAAGAGCATTGCACTCCTGTTGTGCTTTCTGGCCTCAAAGCCCAATGAGCAGCACAAAAAGCCCACTCAGCAATGCAGCCAGGCTCCCGTGGACCTGGAGGCATCCTAGCTGCTGTTCATCAGGGTGGATGGACCACTTCACCCTTCCTGCTTCACCTTCAACGTGGGGTGCTGATCAGTTGGTGGGTGGTTTGGTGTGACAAATACCAAGGGATGTTAAAGGATGTTGGTAGCATCAG